ACTCTAAAAGTGATAAATGGATGATATTAACATCAGCGGAACATTCAGATGTCTGTAACGATTGTCATGGACATTTCATATCACGAAAGATTATGATTGCTAATTTTTGAAACTTTCAACATGGCAGGAAAACATTTCAGCACAATAGTCATTCGAAAATATCCGTATTTATAACTTTGCGAAACGATGATTGGAAATATCACATTGTCAGAACCTTTTTGAGATTAACATTAGACATTTCCGCTTTATCAGCCGATTATTGTTCAACATTATTGCAGCATCGTGTGACGAGACTGATATTTTATTAATTGATAAATTGAACGGAGTGAGGCAGTGAAATGATAATCTGACATGTTAAACAAAAATGGACAGATAATTGGAAACATTATATAGCAGTATTGTGAAGCAAAATATCATCGAAAAGTTTAAAAATTCAGTAAATCGCTTTTTCTTTATTTTTACGAAAGATAGAAAGGCGCCAATTCTTTCGCTCCCTCTAATCATTCTCTTCTAATATAAAATTTGACATTATTTAAAATGATTTCATTTTTTTTTTAATCTTTGAAATGAACCTCCACTTCTTTCCTTAACTCTTCCATTCCTTTCATGCAATTTCATGCAATACGAAATAACATTTTCATGCTATGCTCACATGCATGCATAATAATCTCACAATCATTCATGCATGCCAATATTATGCAGTAGAAGCCAGGCTATTTGATAACTGAACGAATTCTTTAATATTGAAGTCATTGTCACTTGAAATTTCCTTCCGATCGGTTCGTTCAACAGTAATGAACAGAGGTTTTATTGAATTTTTTAGTCTTCATTCTTCACTATTTGTTTTTTCATTTTTGATTAATTACAAATAATCGTTTAGATAACAAGCAAAATATTTCGAAAACTGAAGAAAATGATAGCACACGAAAAAGGTAAAATTGTTTGTTTTTGAAATTTTTTAAATTTTTAAAATTTAAAAATCGGATTTCCAATTTTCAATTTTTATAGTTACAATTTCTGCAACTATTGGAACATTTGATCCTTAAATATTACTGCGATTGATGGAATAAAAGGTCTTCCTTTTTTTTTGTTCTTCCTATTCTTGTAGGAAGAACTGCCATGGAAGGTAAATCCGAGAGATGACAGATATTCGGAAAAACGATTTTCAAAAAAATTGCAAAATGATTTTTCGTTTTTCTTTCAAGCGATAATGCAACACAAATGATGCCTTGCCGGTTGATAGTTATGCGGCATGGTGAGCGAATTGATGACCTATTTCCGGAATGGATTCGCAAATCCACAATATCCGGATCATACCAAGCTTTCGATTTAAACATGGTAATAGGCTGTGCAAATGATTTGTCTTAATTCATACATTTTCTAATTTTAATTTTCAAATAATTTATTCATTGAAACAATTTTATTCCTAATATATTAAAAAGGGACAAATGAATAAAAAGATATTAGTTTAATTTAAGGAAAAATTTTGAGATAATTCAAATATACAATACCTTTTTTTGAGCCTCTCGCTCTTCCGGACCTGAAACGACCGTTCAAACATTACGAAGATGACACGATAATTTCGGAAATGGGCTATATTCTTGCAGAAATGGTTGGAAGAGGACTCCTTATTAATAAATCTATACCAGGTATGGCAAAATTTTTTTTTTTTAAAATAAACTTTGCAAATAGATTAACACTGTAAATATACTATTGGATGTAAATATTTTGAAATCGAGCAAACTGTTGTTGAAGAGTGGAGGTAAAAAGATCAGAAATCCTCAATTAATTGGCACTCAAAACATTGTTTTGCTGTTGAGATGGTAGTATGTGCTAAAAAATACTACTTCAATTAACTGTCATCTCCTGCATGCATCCTGACGATTAATTTAATTTAATTTTGAACTTTAATAAATTGGAAAATTTTAGACGTTATTTATACGTCGCCAGCGTTACGCTGCGTGCAAACGGCACACTCAGTACTAAAGGGAATGGACAAAGAGGATAAAATTAAAATTCGGATTGAACCAACACTTTTCGAATTTACCGATCTTCATCCAAGCGGACAACCGAAATTCGCAACACCCGAAGAGCTTTACGATGCTAAATTCAACATCGATACTGATTATGTGCCACTCACAACAATGGATAATGTGAGAGTTGCTGAACTTTTAATAGCAATTTGAAGGGATGAATATACAAATTTTCAGGGTTATAAATACTAATTAATGCGTAAGTCTCGTTATGTGTTTACTTAAAATTAGATGACAAAGTTGATCGATATCACTGTATACAATCGATGGGCAATCAGTGCAAGAATGATTGATAAGGCAAATCATCTGAATGAACGTAGCATTCTAAAATTTTGTTACGTGGGACTGGTAGATTACATGAGGTCTGCTTATCACATTTTAAATTGCAGATTTGGAAAATGAATGAAACAGTCGAAATGTATAGCAAACGTGTACAAAATCTGCTAAAACGATTAGCTACGACAAAGGAATGGAGTCAGCGAACTGATGGTGCCTTAATTTTGGTAAATTTTGCTGAAATTACTGAAAATTTTAAAATTAAAGAGTTTTTGAATGAATGAATCTCAGAAACTAATTGACAATTCTTGATTACTAGACAGAAACACTTGAAGGTTCACTAAGTTCTATTAATATCTTGCATGATAACTTAGCCATAATACATATCTGATTAGTTTATATGTCAATCTTCAACTTCCTAACATCTAAACTACAGGTTGTTGGTCATGCATCAACGGTAGATTTAGCAATCGGTGCATTCCGAAAACCACCTCGAGCAGTTCTTGCTCGAGAGCTAATCAATCACGGAGCAAAATTCCCCTACTGCTGTACCGCAATTATCGATCGATTGGACGATGATCGATGGTTGTACAACGAATCTGCTTTACCACCCATTACTTATATGAATTTTAGTTCCAAAATTAATCGAGATTTCGCTATGCGCGAACGAATTGCAACATGAAAATCCGTAGAACTCAGATAAATTCCAAACCTCAAATTAGTCCGCATTTATTCTAAAGACTAGTGCAATAAAATGTCTTATCGCTTATCAACATCGAGACATTTGAAGTGCTAGTTAACATGATACTAATTTTTTAATATTAATTGAAAAAAATTTTAGTATTTAAAGAAATTCACAGTGAATTCGTGGACAGTGTCAATAGAAAATTTATTCTGACAACTTATATAACAATAAAAAACACTCCAAGAAGTGTTTAGCAATAATAATAACATAAAAAAGAAAAATAAGCTACTCTCAGCTTTAAACTGCTTCTTCCTTCCCGTGCTTTTCTGGCTTGCCACCACGAATTCTGCCAGTTCTACGCGCCGCAATAAGTCCTACTTTGCGTCCAGCACTTGTTCCACGTTTCACAGTTGATGGATGTCCAATGTGCTGATGATTACCACCACCATGAGGATGCTCTACAGGATTCATTGCAACACCACGTACTGTTGGCCAACAGTTGCGCTTAGCCTTGTATTTGTGATACGCATTTCCTGCTTTCAGCAGTGGTTTGTCTGTTCTTCCACCACCAGCAACGATACCTAACCGTCAGAATGTGTTACACAAAAATTTGCACCATGATGGTTTACACATAAGTCAGTTTTAGCTAAAACCATAGCGCACTAAAAATCTTATGCAAATCATGCCTATAACAAGAAATAATATTTCATCGTCAAATACTACTAACAAATATTCCGATAAAGTTCACAAATAGTTTCACAAGCTTTGAATATTTTGATAAAAATATACCAATCATTGCTCTATTTGAAGAATCCAGAACTTTCTTTGCGCCGGAAGGTAAACGAACACGGGTTTTCTTAGTTTCTGGATTGTGCGCAACAACAGTAGCATAGTTTCCTGTATAAAGATATAAGCATGACAAAATGTATGTAGATACTTAATAAAATTGATGCAAATTCTGAACCACTTTCCAATCATCTCTTTGTTTCTCAATCCTTATCATATGAGATGTAAGATTTGAACATCTCTTAAAAGAAGCTTCATTCTACTTACCTGAAGTTCGCGCAAGACGACCGCGATCACCTGTCTTTTCCTCTAAGTTGCACACTGTAGTTCCTTCAGGTAATTCGGAAAGTGGCAGTATGTTACCAATTTGAACTTGCGCTGAAATAAGGCAGGCTTCTTTTAAAAATCATAACATTAATCGCTGATTTACAAAATGTCTTACATCTCATATGACGCATAAAACTTTTAGCCAGCCTTTAAAATCCCATATATAGTTCAATTCTTCTTTCACTTAATAAATAAATGTAAAACTTATAAATCTTCATTGTAAATATCGTCCACTTATACGGCACACTTACACAATATCGTCTAACCAGAAATAGGGAAAGCTACCTTTTCGTCCACAGTAAATGAATTGGCCAGTGTGCATCCCTTCTGCAGCAATCATTATACTCTTCAGAATTTTATACCGATAAGGATCGCGAAATTCAATGAGCGCCAGTGGTGCTCCACGTCCTGGATCGTGCATAATAGCTTTCACCACCCCCTTTATATAACCATGTCGTTCCGCATAATCGACAGGTCGTAACTTTGCTGCTCCTTTCCGATGTTTATTATGAGATTTAAAAATACCTCCCGGTCCCTTACGCTGTACACGTATCCTACGTCCCATGTGAGCGACTTTCTTCTTTAACCTGAAATTGAAATTTTGGTTTCGAATAATTTAATATCTCCAGTTCTTTTAAAACTGAAACATCAACACAAACCTCTTCCCATAAAGATATCAAAATGTTTAGAGAAATGCCATCACTCCTTATAACAGCACGGTCAACATCGTAGATATATCATATAATGGAAGTACAAATCTACAGCAAAACTATTACGCCAATCATCTCAAATAATTATACACTTTCAAAACTTGCAGTTAATCCAAGTTTAGTTTGACAAAGTGAAACAATCTGAACTAGCAAAATTCTATGGAGAACGAAAATTACACGTTATAGTATAATCCGATATAGCATAAAGAAAACCAAGCGTGGTGGAGAAAACTTCGGTACACATTCTAACCGTGCATGGCATTCCAACTGCCATAACAATAGGATATTTTTGGACTCACGTACGATCGCGTACAGCGTACAAAATCGCGTGATGGCTGAACATGTAGTTCTGACGAAAACTAGTAGACGCTACTACACCCTCCCCCCTCCTCACCACCACGTAACCTGCCGTCATTTAGGAAACCGTGCTAAAATTGCGGCACTAGCTCAAGTCCTGCACTCGATATGCAATTCAACATCCCATTGTCAAAAATATATTTTTAGACGTGAGATTATACATTTAAATTATCACTCTGTCATGTTTATTTACAATTTACAATGCTATTTTTAGTGTTGTTAAAAAACAGCCGAAAGTTTTTTTTTTTTCGTAGCACACCACTGTCATCTGTTGTGTACCGGTTCCACTCTTTAATACACTCCGTTATCATCAATATTTTCCGGAAGAATTGAAATTATTATGGGAATTTATCATGGAAAAAGTATTTTCCAAAGAATTCAGTCAATTTTTCCGGGCATCGATTGAATCGCCCCATTGGGAAACATCAAAATCAAAAGAAGGCTTCAAAAATGAGAATTTGCTATAAATAGCAGCAGGATTGCCGTGCAAATATCGACCCTTCCCATTTTTATACATTCAGATCCATTGCAGTTGACAGCTGTGTGTCTCGAAATGCATGATGAGATCCGATGCAACTGCTCATCCATTCCTGCTTGTCTTCGGATTCTTTCTGGCCTAGGCTTATGTTTGGCTTAATTTTGATCTAATTATTTTCCGTTACGATGCAACTTTTTTGTTTTTGTTGCATTGGCAGTCAAAGGATATAAAAGTTTAAATAGCAAATAAGTTAGGGAAACACAAACAACAAGTAACTGAGGTGAAATCATATAAATCAATGAAGTAGAGAAGTTAAAATACAACAGTATTAGAATTTGAGTATTAAAAGTATTAAAATTTTTTAATTTTCTGGTTTAATTCTACCATTTTAAAATTAGATTAAATTTTTTGCATTTCCTTTGCTGTAATCAAATTTCTTTTCCATCACGCTAACATTCAAGTATTTATTTAAATTCAGTCATGATCGTTTCTATTTAAAATTTCAGCATCGAGAAGTAATTGCCGGATCGGAAGTCTTATTAGCCGTATTGCTACGTGCTTACTTTTTAAGTTTTCTATCGTGCTTGAAATGATCTGATTGCAGTCCTATCTTCCAAATAAATTCTAAATCCGTCTTTCTCGACATACCATATTTTAACATCTATTTCTGGTTTTTTTTTTCTTCTTTTTAGGAAATATTTCAGATGTAACCGTTATGCAGAAATGATTTAATGGCTAATAAAATAAGAAAGAATAAAGTGTGATGAGTATTGGCAACGGAATAATCAATCAAACGATGCATCATCGAGTCCAAATGCCTAAAACATATTACGTGCCTTCAACAGATGTCGTGACAACAATTGTCCTACCAACAATTCTGTTTTGTATCGCTATGGTAATCGCGATGATCATCGGAATAAACAAATGTAAACAATGGGAATTGGATAAAATTGTTGAAATGAGACGTACGCGACGTGTGGTACAGAGGATAACAGCACGATTACGTGAGAAAAATTTCCGAACTATACAAAGTTAGTTTTATTCCATAGTATTTTATTTGTTTACTCTTTGCAGATTTTTTGATAGCATTATTGAAAATTTAGATGACTTTTAAAATCAAAAAAAAATAGGAATGTTTAATTGTTTGTATTTGTTTAAAAACTGTTTTACATCTTTCATATACTGAAGATATGGAAAGGTTTTCGTTCACTATGGATGATTATGTATGATTTCCTAACAAGAAAACATTCAAATTTCAATAATTTTCTTTTCTCTTTTTATTCAAATTTCCAGAAGCTCGCAGTATGCGACAACGAAAAAAAGAGCTATTCAAAGCGAAATCAAGCAACCAGATGAACGACTTAATGGTAACTAACAACACATCTCCACCAACTTACTCCATAAATCCGCCTACACAGTACGGTACTTCGCCGCCGCCTAGCTATGAGGATGCACTTTTGGATGAATTTTTCAATGAATGTCGACCAATACGGTACTAATTAATGGATAAATCGTTTTTTTTAAGAGTATTGAACAGAGTGATAAAATATGTTTGTGTTAGGCTTTGAACATCAAATTTTATATAAGTTGTAGAACAGTAACAAAATTTTACAAATCATTTGACAGTGCAAAAAGAATTGTTTGTCTATTAGAAATAGTTTTTCAAATTGATAATTTGAAAAGCTATTTCTAAATACATTTTTTTCACTCAGTGCATTTAGTGAATTCAAATAATGCAACTCAATACTCGATGAAATGTGATCTGCAAACGAGCGGATCAATGTGCTCAATACTTGTCAAACATAAGAACTAAAGTTAAAATGAAATATCCCTTTCTTGTTCTTTTCAACGACATTTCTTCCTCTGATTCGCATTAAATTATTGGAATTTAAAATAGCGAAGGGATGAGCAAACATTTCACTCGATTTCGATACTGCAACCAGTATGGTCCATATTTTGCCAAGCATCTGGAAAAGGAATTATTTTGACGACCTCAAGAATTGCTAGTTTTTTTACGAGTTTGAAGCTTTTTTTAAATCTCAATTTATGATCAATTTTCAACTTTCTTTTTGAGGAAAAGGTAGCAAGTACGAGCCTTCATTTTTCGGCTTCAATTTAGTGATGATTTTTTTGATACGAATAGAAAAATAGGTCTATGCACTACTTTAGGAAGTACTCCGCTATAACGCATTAAAACATAAAAATTTATTTATTTTTTACCTTATTCTATTATGATTCAGACATTTCGATAGAAAAGTCAAATTTTTTAAGATAAAAATTTACCTTAGTTCATCCTGTTTTAATCGTAAGTACAAATAACATGTTAGAAATAAAAGTGGAAGACAAGTGAAAAATGTATTTGTCCCTTGTAAAATTGTCCAACAAGCAAATGTGAGCCATTCACAGAAATAATTTGGATGTCGACACAATCCCCACCAGCCGCTTCCTGAAAATCACGGAGTGTTTGAAACTTTTCCTTGTAAAAGTAAAGGAAATTGAATTACGTGGAAATTGAAAATCGACAAGAAAATAAAAAAAAATGCTTGGCTGGCAAACGTGAATTAATCAAGTTACGCAGTTCTGAATGATCGAATATTCGGTCGATCAATTTGAATCTTTTACTTACCCAAAAGTAAATTTGCAGCAATTTCACCATTCTTACGCCGATATTTGGCGGTAATAAAAAATGGATCTTCACCCCAAACTTTCATATTTCCATTGGCAAGTCTGAATTGTACACGCTGTCGATCACTATCAACCGTAATATACACCGCGATGATACCAATGAAGAGCACTGCTATATTGATTGGCAAAGGTAATACTATTTTCCTTTGTGCAAGCATTGTTACCGGTGTCGCATAGAACGCGGGATAAAGTACAAGAGTTCCCCATATGTAGAAAAATCCTGAAAATATTCCAAGTAAAGATTACGATGACTAAAATGACTTGCATTTTATAATCTTACCTGTTGTTAGAAGATCATATTTAACTCAAAAATTGAAGAGCTTTCTTTCTTTCAATTGAGAATTACTAGCTAAATTTGTCTTATTTTACTTATAACAATCAATTTTTAAATGATCATTTTGTCAAAAAATTGATGACATAAATTCCACGAAGAAAAGTGCAATGCAATGCAATCAATCAATCAGTCAAAAATCCAAAACAAAAAATCTTAGCAATTAGCCACATCTAATAATTCACAAAATGCTAAAAAAATTTTTTTCTTTATTTTCCACAATATAAATATAGGCATTTGAAAGCAAGGTTTAAAAAATTCATCCTACATCTGTTTTCTCACTTCAAAAAAAACCGCCTAGCTTCTACACATTTTTATCACCGTTCTCAAGTGGCTCGCTTGTAATCCAGGAAAAAAAAAATTTAGGACAAGATTACTACAGTATACCATGACAGTTGACATTACCGATGATAATAATAGTTAACATAAAATATATTTAAACTTCAGAAACTTTATGAGAAAGCTACCATCAAGTTTTAATTACAAATAGCAAATTAGTCAAGATTATAACGAAGTTTATCACCACATCAAAATCTCTAAAAGAGAATATGAGAAACTGTTTACAGTTGTTTTTTCTTTTTCTTTGGAAATTTTTTTATTATCTGAAATGTATCTAAAATTAAGCCTCGAAGCCAAAAATAATAATTGTAAGATGCAGGAAATTTTGATGAAGACAACAAGATGGATGAAGAAACTTTTTGTCTAACCTCATAGTTATGTATCACAAAGGTTAAAAGATTGAAACAAATTAATTGCTGTAATCCAAAAAAATTTCGAAGATCGGAAGCATTTCTTGTCATTTGAAACAGGCACGAAATAGGCTTTTCTTCCAAAGAGAATGGAATTGGTCTTCGTGTTCTGTGTGAATATGAAAGATTGAGAGAATTGTTGCCATTTATTGCTTGTGAAATGAATTATTATTTCGAGAACTGTTATCGTATTTATAAATCATTTTCCGCCATTTAAAGGAAATGATCAAAAATTTGATCATTTCTTTTAAATAACGGAAAAAGCATTTTTTTTTTCTCTCATAATGTGTATTAGTTTAAAAATGAACTGAAATGAGAATGACTTTTCTGGTTGGGATTTATTTGAAGGCATCTTTAGGATTACAATAAATATTTGATGAGACGAGGAGAGTTCATTGAACGGCACTGACAGATGATCCAAAAATTGAAGAAGTTTTTCTCTTCTTTTCTCATATTTCTGTGAACAGAAATATGGATATGGTAGGAAGCAAACTGACAAGAATAAATCTCGTTTCTAATATCAAAGTATTGTTCATCATTACTTGTCTTTATATAATATTTATATAATATGCATACATATTTTTTACAATTATTTCTAGATCTAATTAATTACTTACTCAATATTTTCATCAAGAAAATGACATCACTCTCTTCCATTTCCTGCTTTATTTTATCGTTTCGAATTTCGAATTATTTGAATTCCTATCAATCATTTTTTTCAAAAAAAAACTTATTTTTAATTTTTATTCGAAACCTTTTCAATTTCAAATTTATTTATACGAAAGAAAAAAATGCTAAAAATTTAACAAATGTATTAATACTTATCAAGTTCTGATTATAGTTTGTTATGGATTGGGAATAGAATTCAGAAATCATTTTTTGCAATGACAAACCCGCTTTCTTATTCTGAGCATCCAATTGACTATACTGCAAATGCTCATACCAATGTGTTTTACCAATATAAATAAGCTGCAAAATTGCACAGAACAGTAAATTATCTGCAAAAAAAATCGTTAAAATAACTGAAATGAGAAATGAATAAAAAAGCTGTATAATTTTAGATTGAGTTTAGAGGGATTAAATTAACTAAAAAATGTAAATTATAAATTGTTCGTCAGCGTTATGAATTTTGAATTTCAAGTGCAATACAGCTTTAACCGCAGGTCAAAAGTGGCCATGCTTTCTTTTGACCTAAGATCATGGACCAGTTCTTAAATCAATTCATTTAAAATTCCAATTAACATTCAGATTATAAGTGATCCAAATCATGAAGAACCGATTAGTAATTTTATTTAACTTCCAATTTCAATCATTATTAATTTTTGTCGAACGAGAACAAAAGCTTGAAAAGTATAAAATCTTGAAAGATAATTTAAACATTTACTATTGATTCCTCCATAAAATGAATAATTGTAGTATACGGATGAGATGATATATAATGGCCATAAAGTTCGAGCAATTCTATAGGTGATAAAGTGTTTGAGATCAACCGAAAAAATTGTTGGCGTTAGATCAGTGCCAAAAAACAAACCGCTGATAATATCAGCTAAAAATGATTAATTTCAAATATTCACTCATATTACTACTTTCATTTAAACATCACTTTTAATTTCAAATTTAACTATCTTATTAAGAAAGGGAAAAGATGTTCGAACTAAAAATTGAAACTTTCAACACTAGATTAATGTTCTTTTTTTATTGGCTTTCATCTTTTCTATGACCTTGCACTTTATAATGTACGCTTCAACATATTTTGATGTCAAATAAATTAAACTCACAACACGCTTCAAATTACACTGCATTCTTTATACTTGTTTTATTTGTCCTTAGTTTCAAAAGTTCGTGTGTAACTTACAGGTATCAGCATCATCACTTCGTTGTCGTATATACAGCAATAAAACTATAATCATGGATATAAAATTTAGCAACGATAAAATCTGAGTCCAATTCATATAAATGATGGAAGCTTTATAAAAGCCCAAAGCTGAACCAAAGATAAACAACAGTATTACAAGAAGGCATGACTGAAACGAATTCACCGGACGCCATTCTCGTTCTCCTGAAATTGAACTAGCAATATTACTATGTGACTTTTGATTAATAAATAAAACTTGGGACTATCCTTTTTTTAACTTAAGTAATTTTTATTCTGAATTTTTTCGGATTAGGTAGCTAACTTTTTTTAGTAAAAAGTTTTACAACTTTATTGTTTTTCGAAATAATTATAAGCATAAAATGATTTGCTAATTCTTACCCATACTGTTGACGATTGTAACAACGTCTTTGGGTAAAATAAGATAAAAGATAAGTTGCAGAAGTGTGATAAAAGTAAGGATTTTCCAGGCTACCGAACAAAACGGTGACGGAAAAATTTGATACAGCACATCGCTTTCAGACCATAACAATTGAAGAAACTAGAAAAAATTCATTGTGAACTGAACAAAAATTTCTCGAATTCAATTTAGAAAAATCTTGAAAACAAAACAAATTCATATAAATTGCTTTTAATAATTTCATTAAATTTACCTGAAGAAAGGATGCATTACAATTATTCACCGCATAAACATGTAAAAAGAGGAGGAACGGTCCTCCACAAAGCACCGATATAAGTAATTGAGGAGAAAAATTTCGTTTTTTCTAAAATAAAAACTAGAAATAATTTCAACAGTACCTAAACAGTTGTTTCAAAGTAATACTTTCTCCCAAAAAGCATTTATGATTTTCATTTATTTGATTGTGAAAATAGCTCGGAATGAATAAATGTTTTCCCTTTACTACCAAACATATGTTACAATATATTGTTTTGAAATGTGAAATGACATTTGGCATTCAAATAATAGTACAGAATATAAACACTAAGCAAATTGAAATTAATTTGAAAAAAGATGTGAAAGTGATATAACGAATGTTTTAAATGCATTATCAAAGCAAATATATGTCAGGAAACGATGTGAAATGTTTCTAAACTTTTATCTTTGTCAGATAAAACGATTTAAATGCTTTCAGAATGCTTTTTCAAATTTAAGAATAGCGCAATATTATTAGCATTTTCTTAAACTTTAGCAAGCACGGAATGATGTAAACTTTTTATGAATCGAAGGGCATAATTAAATGAAATATGTGAGTTTTAAAAATTGAAAATTTACAGAAATCAACGAAAGAAAAGGAATAATTCTAGCAAAAAAAATCGTTTATTTAATTTCTATGGAAAGAGGTTTATCGATTTCCAATTCAGGTTCTATTTAATTTCTAAAAATTTGGACTTGCTCCTTTTAGCACAAATTGATTCAATAGTCAACAAAAGAAGTAACAGAATATTATTTGACAACACAAAAACCAATATATCATTTTAGTTAGAAATACTTACCTTTCCTTCAATATCAATTATACTTAAATGGATTAGAAGTCGAAGAAAAAAATTATTTTTATTCGAGAACAAAAAAAAGAATGATTCATTTGAATTTAAAAATATGAAAAGAAAATTTTTCTTTTAAAGCGTAAACTAGAAGATAAAAAAGATTGCTTTAAAACATTTATCTTTATCTGCAATATTGTCTGAATGATCAGCAAAATGCTCAAAACGGAAAATAAATGAAATTTAAAATTTCCATTCGGGAATATTTTGGCCTAGAAATCTACTTTTTGTCCACTTTATTTTTGTAAATTATAATTTGCACAATTCATATTCGACTATTTTGCATGCAAATTTAATAATTTTAAAATTTCATTTTTATTCATTAAATCACTTTCAATTCATATTTGTTTATTTCTCTTCAATCATATTAGTTTTATCTTAATTCCAATTCATTCCTTATTTTTTCTATCTTCGCAAAAAAATATCACATAAAACTTACCTGTGCTTCGGCAATTTGAATTCGTTCAATATCCTTTAAATTACACGACGATCGTCTGGATGAAATGGAATGTTGTGAGCCAACAAGTGATGAGCGCCGATTATTACGAAGCATTGTTGTTTTTGTTGTTGTTGTCGTCGTCGTAGTTGTTGCTACTGCCGCTATCGTTGTTGTTGTTGTTGTTGTTGTTGTTTTTGTCACGTACCATTAGTTTTTCAATTGTTGACATTATTCCTCTCTAACGATACAAACAACCGAAAGTCTTCGCATCACACAATCATTTTATCAGAGTGATCACTGAAATTATCACTAATCACTGAATCAATTTAGCCCAATGCAACAGCGACTGCTAGTAGTAGCTTGTGATGAAATTGATGATGCCACCCGCTTGCATCAGTGCAGAAATGATGAGGAAAGTTCAATTCATTCTTCACATTCATCTCTTTCCATCTCACTCTCATATTGTTACACAAAATAACAACTAAAGTTTTTTAACCGTCGCTATTCTCGCAATCCCATACTTCAAATGTTTTTCTTTTTCTTCTCTTTCAAACTAACCACACAATACACACCAATTCATATCATCCTCAGTTTCGTTTTTTTTTTTTGTTCATCCTTAAAATGAGTGATAATTTTTAGAAATATTTGTGTGCGGTCGAGACGTACGTACATCAGATTACGTTTGTTGAAGAAATGAGAGGAGAAAATGAGGAGGAAGTGAAATTTTATACCTTTAGTGATAATTATTAGAAATGACAACTGACTAAGACTAATAGCATTTCTTTCTATCAAGCTGATAGTTTGAAAATTTTCCAATGATTTCACTGATTAATAATGCTAGGAGTAATTGGTCGCATATAATTACGAAAGATTTTCACAGTACAATTTAATCCATTTTAAAATACATTTGAAAATTTTTGTTTTTGAGAAAATCTGAAAGATTCGAACTGTGATTAAACTTTGATGATTAAATTAAATCCCGTATAATCGTGAAAGATTTTACAACACAATTACTATTAAATTAAATGTTTCTGATTTATTCATTCCAATGCAACCGTGCATCTCAATTCTTTATTTTATAGGCCGTATTTTAGGCTTTTATTTTAATCAGTTTTCTGAGATGTCGCGATAGTTTTGAGGTGCCAGGCATATTATTTGTATAAATTGCTATTTCTTTAGGGCATTTGATGAGGTGTGATATGGAATACAATTAGGATATGATAAAAGGAATGAAAATGGAATGTTCTGCAGCATCATCAGTCGAGGATATTAAACGAGAGATACCGATTGCCTCTAAGGTATTTTTACTTTTTCCTGCATTAAATTTTGAAAATTAAATGCTTAAATACATCTGAAATTATAATAACGTTACCTGGTAATTATGCTGAAAAGGAATCGAATAAAATCCTTTATCGAAATGTAAAAGTAGCCTGGAAGCTTGGATGATGTAAGTCAAAGACAGATAGTCCATACTCTCCATATTTTAATTGGTAGTACATTGAAGAGAATTATAATGGACCACAAAAGTTATGGTGTCAAAACTATTGAAGTAAAAAATATGAAGGTTTTCCAAATGATTAAAAGCTATAAAAATATGAAGATTTTCCTAATGGTTAAAAGTTATACTTGTGATCCGTGTTTAATCATCTAGGAGTTTTATAAAATTGGAAAAAAAAGCTTTTGTGAAAATTTTAGGCCACAGGCGTTGTTGCTCGATTAACAAGTAATATGGCAGCAGATATTCAGTCGCTAATATTTCAGCGTCACAAAGTAGCAAATGGCACAGCCGGATATGTCTACACTGCTAAGAATTCAGTAGCTGATTTTGGATTTCTCCTCATTTTTACTTATTCATCAAATTTTGAATTTGAGTTACTTAGCTATTCATTCACTTTCTACCTTCCAGAGACATAGCTTGTCGATCTATTAAAAGGAACAGATCCAATGTTCTAGCCTTGGAGAGATTCGTAATAACTACAAATGCATTTTGATATTTGTAAAACAATGCATTGAAAATCTACATTTTTAAAGTTGAAAATATATTTTATGCAGATATATTTTTAATTTCGACCGTTTGAAGGAATGTTTCCAGGGTCCAGCATCAGAAAAAGTTGTTCGCTTGGGGCGTGAAGAGTGCTCGGAAGAGGAAGGATGTGATTATGCAATTGCAATAGTCAACAGACGAACGGGGAAGATAAACTACTTGCCTACTAAATTGATCTGTTTTGAAAATGTCCCGGTATCCGATTTCCAAGAAATACTAGATTCTAGGTTTGCTGCATTTTTAAGTAAAGTTTTTGATAGTTGTAGATATTCCATCTTTTGTTTCAAAGTAATTTGAAGTTTGAAATAAAGCGGGAGAATTTCAGTTACAAAAGGAAAATCGATTATTCCATCGATAATAGTATTAGCAGAGAATCATGGGCTGATAAGCGGCGTGCATTAACAGATGATTTTGGATCAGTAAAAAAGATTAAGATGCAAGATGCTGCCAAACGACGACAAATCAAAGATGTATGTCTTTTTAAATGAGTAAATTTAGAATTGCTAATCACTTTTTGCAGAAACAGAGAATATTTTCATTTTAAAACTCTTGGAACAATTGATCTTTAAGGAAACGTTATCAGTTATGCTTGGTTCGGCATTCGCAGCGAATATGAAAAAAGAAGTTGAAACAGTGGAGAAATCTGAAATTTCATTATTAACGAAGGTAAGAAGTTTTGTCACAGAGAAGATATTTTGATTTGTATATTACGAAAAAATATGTCGGATGTAAAAGAAATCTTTTTTATCAGTTCAAAATCTTTTCGTTGAAATTACAAGCTGATTTAATAAATGAGTTATATATTGCGAACTGCCGTTCCTCATTCCTTATTCTAATAAATTATTCAATTTTTAAGATTTTTTCTAGGCTGAGAGTTCGGTGCTACCAAAAGCAAATATGGATGCGAAATCGCCACGGGAAGTATATTTGTTTTCAAACTTTTTATCTGATGCAGAAGTTATCACATTCAAATCTGAAGCATTTGATCATTTGAACGAATCAAGAAAAAATCTTATTACAAATGGTTAGAAAATTTTTTATTTCTTCGTATGATTGCAGTCTTTCCGTACATATCACCACGTTGTGAGATCTGAATCTTTCGATACTGATACTTAAAGACGGAATGTGAAAAGGTAGAAGTATTGGAATACTTCTCTGTCTTCGAATTCCATTTTAAGCTACAAATTCTGTTTTTTTCTTAACTTTAGTCTTTATGCTCGTAATCAGCGAGAAAATAAGGCATTATATTTTTGAAATATTACTTGCTGTGGCAGTAGCGGGCATTACTGTTTGAGATGCTGCAATATGTTGTCTTTTAAAACATGTAATACGTATTCAACTGCAGCCGCGTATTCAACAATATTTGCTCTTTTTACTAGCAAATATTGCAAAGACTCAAGGCATTTTGTTATTTTATATTGTTTTAGGTGTGTCGCCTCTTGTATGTAATCTGATTGGTAATATTAGTATAAATACCGAACGGACTTGTTATTTATTGCTGTTGGATGCTATGATACATTGTTACAAGGTAAATATTTACATATATATTATTTGAATTTAGGTTATTGGAAAAAAATCATACAAAGTACTTTGTCTTCCATTCGCAGCAATATTTTTTCTTATTTCTTTCTTTTTTTGCAGATTTTGGCAAAACGTCGTTTTCTTTTGCAAATAGAATGGTTGCAGTTGCAGTATCCAGTAACAGTGCTTTCTAAAATTCGTGAACTTTTTCTCCGTATGTTTTGTTTTCCTCAGTTTTGCTTCTGATGAAAGACAATTGTTTTGCTTGGAAAAAAGTTTAAATAAACCTATATTGTTTAAAAAAAGGAAAACCAAATACGGTTTGAGAGAAGGGAAATTGAGTAAGCCTTTTTTGTACAAAGAAGGAAAAATTCAAGAAAATAAGAGTAAGGTTTTCAATAAGATTGGAATATTTTTTTAATGAAAAACTGATGTAAGTTGTTTTATAAATTTATTTCTATAATTTATAAATTATTCAAAGAAATATATCGAAATTTTATTCTGGATGTATTTTCATTATTTTTCTCGCCTTTAGTTTTTAATTTGTTAAATTTTAACTTTATTATTTTGCAGCTGGTGAATTTGTTAGCGAAAATTTCAGAAGTAAACCAAAGTTGCCGATTAATTTAATGGCCAAGGATAGGTTATTGGCGCATATTTTATGCTTGGCGATTCTATTAGATTGTAAGCTTACTCTTTCTTGCATAATGTACTTTTTGATCATCACTGCAAAAGATCGTAGTTCAATTGCCCAGTAGAGATTTTTATTGTTATTGTTAAAATATTTACCTATTAACTGAATGAGCTATTGAACTGAATGACTTCCATTCGGAAATTATTGGATTTCATGACCGAAAAAGGAAAACCATTAATGTTAATAAGTGATATATCATTGACAACTTTATGCTTTGTTGGTGCGAGTATTCTAAATCCTTCAAATTAAATAATTTTCGAATATAATTTGAATTATTTTTTCTATTCCTCACATAATTCTTATGATCTAACATTCAAACAATGAACTGTGTTACTGTTTGTATATTAACGAACTTTAAATGCAGTTGTTTGTACTTTTTTCCCACCATTTAATGAACCATCTATCGTATTTACAGATGAAGGTATGGCTTTACCAATCACGCCATGGGCTAAAGAGCTTGGAACTGCTGAACCGAAAATTACCAAAATGGCAGTTGCGCTTGGTTGTAAGTAAGTATTGGTATTGATTTTGTAAAAGAAAAGATATAATTTTAAACAAGATACTTTTAAAATCTATCAGATTGAAATTAGTTAAGTGAAAATTTTTATTCTAGCGTGAGTGCTGCATCGGCAGCCGAGGGTGTTCGCTTGGGTACTTTAAGAATAGCACGATTAGTTGGACCACCACAGACATCAAAAAAACGATCTTCTGGACGACCGGGTGCTGGCAGAGGTCGCTAATTTTAGATAATTAAAGCATACCATAATGTTTTTATATTTTTCGTTTAGTGTGATGTATGGAGCTATTTGCGTTTTTGTTGAAGTTTGCTGTTGTTGATTCATGCAAATATTTAAGAAAACGGGTTTTAAATATAGTTGTTGGTCATATTTTAATTTAGAGTTGTGTAGTCGGCCGGTGATGTTTTGTTGCTAAAGAGAGTGGTATAAATACAAACCAGCATATACTATCTTCTGAAAAGAACGAGGGATTTCAGCAATAAAATTATTTCTTTGATCTACCCGGCAGTTATCAGTGATTTCTGTCCTTAAGACCAAAATATTTTATTTATACGAGTTATAAAATAGTTCGATTTAATTTGGAGACATCATCACATCTCTACTCTGACGAGTGCCTCCTTCGTTGAAGAATACATTTTGGTGCAGAGCGCTAATGATTATATCCTTTTAATATCCGTAGTGATTTCTTTCAATACTCTCAGTTCTTAAGTGAACACTGTTTGTTTGCATATTTTGCTTATTTTGTGATTTTAAAGAAGTACTGAATAAATTTTCAGTTTTCAAGCTTAATGTTTTCTACATGAAGAATGTGTAAAATTTATTTGTAAATAATTTATTTAGATATATGACAATAGGAATTTTTAAAATAAATTTTTATAACTGCTGAAATTATTTGAAGAGGAGAAAAATGCTGTTCAATTTACTCGTTCCATTTTTTACTTCTTAAATATATCTTGGAAAGGAAATGTTTTATGCGTTCCAAAGCAAGCTTTATGTCAGTTGAGAATTGGCTAAAGATGGAAGTACAGTACAAATTATTTGAATTTTCCGGTGATAGAAAAGAGAAATGGTTGGTTTAAATGATTAGGTCATAGTACCTGAAGGGTACTGCCTCCAACTCTCACTCTTATAATTTGATAATGATCTCCCTGAATTGAGAGTGTTAGTTTTTTCTATCAATTGACTTAACTGTATCTCACTATATCTCATTCAGAAAATCATTGATTAATTCAGCCGAGAGTTAATTTTATTCATTCCCAAACAGAATTCATCACATTGCCCAAAATAACCAAATATAGTATTTTTACTCTTCTTTGGTATCGTAACTCTCAAATAAGTTTAGTTATCTTAAACAACAAACATTCTTACTGATAGAAGTATCAGCAAATGAAGATGATTTACTGTTAATCGAATAGTTGCTTAACAGTGCATATCAATTGACTATAAAATTTTATCCATCAAATATTTTATACAAAGGAGAAAATTTCAAACAAGAAAAAGACATTTATTTTCAGCAAAATTTACCTTTTGAAATTGAAATAAGCGCGATGATAGCGAAGAATTCATTGATGGTATAATGTATGTGTGCTGTAAATTTATCAATATCGTCTTTGTTGTAAACTGTTTAGTATGGTTTAAAATGGATGTTTCTCTTTCCCTTCCATTTTCTTCTTCTCCTTTTTATCGATATATCATTCATCCCATTGAGCTGAATCAGTCCAGTCCAATGGACAGCCGTTTTCTCTATGCCAATCGGTCACTTTTCTGTTTTTTTTTTCCCTTTCTGAAATGCAAAAATAATAACAAAATGGTAATTGATAATTTATTACTTTCCATATTATCATTATTTCAGATTACGATACTATTTAACTGATATAATTTAACCTAATTTGCTAACATTTTACATTATAAATAATAAAATAAATGCATTCTATAGAATATCTTAGCAGTATGTGATTGTAATAGGAACAGGTCCTATATTGATTTCATCTTTTTTTTTTCCTTTTTTCTTTCATGCTGAAGGCATCCATCTCGTCATAATTCCTTAAACGATTTCTTTCTTTTTTTTTTTGCCTTTTTATTCTTTTCTTTTTGTTTTTTATCAAAAGAAACGGAAAAATATTATGCAAATTTTGTTCGTTTTTCAAAAACTAAAATTGTTAGGGAAAAAAGTCAAATTTTTAGTTTATTTAATTACTTCAAATCTTAATTAATTATATTATTATAAAATGATTGAATGAAGTAAGTAAATCATCCATCTGTTAAATGAATTGATAGAATAGTCATGTTTATTCATTAAGGAATGAAGTGCTTCTTTTAGAGAAAGAAGATTTTAATCAGTCATTGATTATCGCTGGTAGAATTGTTCAGCTTCTCATTTTGGCAGATCGGTTCGATGGTAAAAGCATCCATCGGTAATTCTTTTATTTCTTCTTCAAAACATCTTTCTGATGGTCTTCTTTCAAGCAGCTATAACAAATTATTTTTTAGTTCGTCCATTCTTTTTTACTTCTCTCTCTTTCTCTCTCTTTCTCTCTCTTTCTCTCT